TGGGGGACCGACAAGATTGTCCATGACCATTGCAGGCTGTTGTAGCCTTGCTTTGCGCTGTTCATGTTTTTCACCTCAGGTGTTGCTGATGCACCTTGCTTCAAAGCAGTTAACTGCAATATGACAAATCTGCTGCCACCTTGCTCTGTTGTGGGCTATTGTTTCCCATTGACTGGGATTGGCTGATACGCTTTCATGCATGACTTCAGTGTGTCTATATTGTTTGTACTGGCTACCATGAGAGCAGGTGCCGTGCTGTAGCTGACCAGAAATAGGGCCTTGGGTATTCTTGAGTCTGCCATATGAACGAAATGCCAAGACCAATGCATAGCTGAGTTTGTTTGTTTTTTGAGCATGCTTTGAATGTCAGACTTCTGACAATGATTGAGTATTTCGATATTGGGAATCTTGTCTCAACAATTGACCCTGCAAACAGACTAAAGGTTGTGCATATGAAACTCATTGAGTTTCCTAATATGGCGACAATATGTTATCCAGCATGACTGCCTTATAGACGTTTAGCTTAGTGCTTATTTTGACGTCCTGGTCATTCCATATGTGGTGTGACAGCATTCCAAATGCAGAGCTGGCCTTGGCTAAGCGATGGGTAAGCTCATCATCAGTTGCGGCATTCTGTGACAGCATACTCCTTAGGTAGCAGAACTTCTCCCTGGACTCGAGAAGATCATCCTTGATCTTAATAATTGGGTAGACAAGTTCATCCCCTGGCACATGTTGGTACAGTACTTCAGTTTTCTTTAGATTGATTGTGAAACCAAAGTGATTCACTGTACAAGTAAAGTGATCAGTTAGTTATTGAACGTCATCAATCGAGTGTGCAACCAGTGCACAGTCATCAGCAAATAAAAGCTCCTTAATGTGTAAATCTGCCACTTTCATGCAAGAATGGAAGCGTTGCAAATTTGAACAACTTATAACACTGCAGAACTGGGTAAATGCTCCTCTGTCAGTGTCATGAAATGCATCCATAAGCATAACCAATAAAAGGATGGAAAAGACTGTGGAAGCCAGCACACAACTGTGTTTGGTGCCACTGGTGACCAGAAAGGGGTCTGATATCTCGCCATTTCCCACCACTCTGGTCATCATACCTTCATGGAAGGATGGAATAGCAAAAATTAACTTTCCAAAGATGAACAAAAAATCGAGCAAGAGACAGCGCCACAGAATTTCAAGGGTGCCAACATTGTACACCTCTATAAACGTAAGGGTGAATGGGCAAACTGTGATAATTACTATGGCATTTCCCTTCTCTCTATTGCAGGGGAAATTATTGCACTGGTCATACTGAATTGACTTAACACCTATCTTGTGGGACACATCATCCCCGAGCATGGACAGGGCACTGTAGATACGATCTTCCCAGCCTGTCAGCTTCGGGAAAAGTGCTGGGAGCAAAACCATGGTCTTTATGTGATGTTCGTCAACTAAGCTAAAGCAATTGTCTCCCTAAATCATGGGGACTCTGGAAAGTTACCTCAGTACAAATAAATATATATAAAAATCAATAAAGCAGACGAATAGGAAGTTTTCCCACACAGGGCTGTTTTTCCTATGTGCTATTATAAATCCAGGAGTTTGCAGCTTATCAAAATGACTCTCCCAAGAAAAGACAAATGGGGTTTGTGAGCTCATAGTCTGATTTCCCAGAGATGGGCAAGCTGAATGCATATGGAGCCAGATTTGGTGTACACATGGTACCAGACGGAGATGATGACATGCTGCAAGGGGGACAGATGCTCCTCTAGGTGACCCCAGGCTGATAGACATAATATGCATACTTGACAAAATTATATAAAGCTGGCAGTTTAAAACATTTTGCATATTTCCCATATTCTATCAACTCCATGCTGTTTGGCAGCTGGCCTGGCAAGCTTTCAAAATAGCTCACAGCAATCAAAGTATATTTTGGATCTTATACACATCCTGCTCCACCATTCATGGTAAAGCCTCTGCAGAGGGAACAGTATCAAGTGTGTCACAGGGTTCAATATTGAGGTCCATATTATTTCTTATTTTCACTAGTAGGAGTATGTACATTCAGACATGATCAAATTTGATGATTCCAAAGTTGGTGAAGTAGCAAACGCCCAACATGGGAATTTCCAGACCAGATCAGACCAGTGGATTATTTAATCCAGAATCCTGGCTGACAATGGCCAGTAACCAAATGTTTCAGAGGTGGACAATTATGGAATAACTTGCCCATAATAGATATTTCTACTTAGTCACTTTCAGTTGTTGGCTGGGCCCAGGCAAAGAGCAGACAGCCCTTGGAGGTAGGCATGGGAGAGTTTATTTGGTTGTTAGGGTGGATTCATAGGAAAAAGGAGAGCTAGAGTTTCCAACCCTGGGAGAAAGGAAAGAGATGGCATCCTGGCATCTAGCAGTCTGCCACTGAATCAGGAATGGACACTGCTGATAAATGGACACTGCTGACAAACTGCCAACGCTGGGTACATAGACACTGGAGCTGGAGAACAGAAGTGTAACTGTGGTGGCTCAGGCAGCGGGATGGATTAGTTGCCCAAGTAAGTGCATAGAGTCCTGGAGGAGGATCAAACTTGGGCAGCTGGCCTGTCCCCCTATTCGCGCAGCCGTGGCTACACTTCTGTTTTTAGTGCACTAGTTCCATTAAAGTTAGTGCATGTATGTCTGCCAAAGCTGGAAATTACTCTTCCAGCTCGAACTGTGGACATACCCACAGTCTGTAGCCATATCCTGGGTGGATTGTACCTACCTCTGATAGGTACCTAAGAGATGTCGTCTCCTTACATTTTGGCAGCACTTGAATAGTTTGTCATGACAATTTGAATCTATTGTGTGTGCCCACTTTCAAAGGAACATCTCAAGTTATGTAGGAAAAACAAAAACCAAAGCTCTTGATCCACAGTAAGAAATATAGCCCTGAATGGACTGAGGCAGCAAAGCATACAATGGACATTGCATAAGAGATGATGATAACCTGCCGTGAGAGGACATCCATGTAAATACCTTGGGGACTGCCAGATACGGTGAGCAGGCTCACACCATTTAAGATCAGAAGGGATGAAGGACTGTAATTGGGAGGAACGAGATGCTTAAAAGTAGAAAAAGAGAGAAGAAAGCTACTGAAAAGCAGGGGCCAAGATTTTCAGAAGTGACGAGTGCTTTTGGGTGCCACCTCCATTGTTGGATGCCCAACTCTGAGTCTCCATAAAGTAAAGGGCCTGGTTTTTCAAAGGGCAGGGGCTAGAGCATTATATGAAAATCAAGCCCCCAGATGTTATAGGTTGGGCTCCCAAAATCATTTGTCGCTTTTGGTAATCTTTGCCAGAAGCTGTGTTGTTGATATGCTGACTAGCTGAACGAGTCAGAGGGGAAAAAAGGAGATTGCACTCTCTAGAAATGTAATACTTTGTTTCTTTACTGCACCTAATCCAAGATAATCTACCTATGTTATTTTTTGCCAAGTATGAGATTAGATATGTCAAGCACATATTTATTTAAATCTGATTTTTTCCCTCTGTTTAAACAACCCCCTCCTCAAAATCTTGTTTTCAGTTAAACCATTTGAATCTTTGGCTGTTTTGGAATTTCCTGCAGATTATCTCAGAGAGGTTAAATAACTTTCAACCTCTAAGATAAAATAGTGAAAGAAGGGTTTCTGGAGCCTACCATGGCTGGGATTCCATGTCAAAAGGGCACACTGTACATGAGGAGTCCTCTTCCATAAAATGCCTCACATGCCTGAGGACCACGGACAAGGACAGAGTTCATGACACTGAAGGGTTTAGTCTTTCGCCTCTAGGTTGTCATTTCAAATCCCAGCCAGATTTTTGAAGCCCGAAAGCTGTTACCATGCGATGGCTGTATGGCAACCTATGTAAAAGGAGTTGGATCAAACTCCAGTTTTCAGTCAGATTTCCACCTAACAAAAAACATTGGAAGTGTCACTAATTGGAACCCATGCTGGCAATCACAGTAGAAAGGTCAAGGACTGAATGGGTATGAAGTATGACCTACCTTCTCAATCTTGACATTGTCCCACCAGCTCATGATAGACACGCGTTAGGGGGCAGCAAGAGAAAATTTCCACTGCTCTCTCTTTTGTAGCTGCTCCATGGATACAGAAAAATGTATTATTATAAATGGGAAAAGTAAATGTAAATAGCATCATATCATCATCAGAGATGTCAGGGACAGAAAACCTGTTAGGTTATCAAATCCATCTCACTTGAAGGCCCCATTGAGCAGAGCTCGGAAGTATGTACTTAACTTTGAGCTTTATTTGTATGATACATCATCCTCCAGACACCTTACAAATGTTTATTTACTGCATCTCACAGCACCCCGGTGAGGGAACCAGTGGTAGCAAATCCATTTTATAGACGAGACTGCTAGACACAGAGTGGGTCACTTCCAGCTTCCACTTGTGGCTCCTTATGTCGCGGTTGGGCAGTTAAATGGTTCCCCGGGGTCACACAGTGAGCCAGTGGCAGAGCCGGGAATAGAACCCAGTCATGTGCTCTAACTACTAAATACACCTAATCCCAATTCAATCAAGGCAAGTCTACACTGCAGCCCAGCTGCACTACTGTAACATGTCTGGTGAAGACACTCTGTGCCGATGGGAGAGCACTCTCCTGTCGGCATAATTACTCCACCTCGGCGAGAAGTGGAAGCTCTGTTGGCGGGAGAGCAACTCCCGCCAACATAGCACCGGTGTGGACAGCACGAAACTTGCATCACCCAGGGGGGCTTTTTCACACCTCTAAGCTCTGTAAATTGTATCGATTTAGGCTATAGTGTAGACCTGCCCTCAGATATATGCATAGATTCAAAACAGGTGGCATCCAACTGAGTTTGTGCAATTTAGAAACTCCCTCTGAAATTCTAACCAATGTTTGTATCTTATAATATTGGATATTGCATGATGGTATCTGATATTTCTGCTCTCATTTAAATATTTTATTTTGTTTGCATTTTTGTTTCAACAGAAGAGGAACTGGCAACCCCACCGTTAGATGGCATCATTCTTCCTGGAGTGACGAGGCAGAGCATCTTGGAGCTGGCACGCAAGTGGGTGGGTGTTTGCCTTGTCCCTCAGTAGTAGCAATTTTAACAACTGTGAGATACGCTGTTATGAAAATAACTCATTTATTGTGTTCAAGTAATGGCTCACAGTTCCACCTGATCCTTTAAACCAAATACGAACTGGGGAAGCATGTTAAAATTAAAAAGACTTGGCCAAACCACCCAGACACCAGCATTCGTTCCACAGAGCCACATACAGTCTAACTAGTTCCCAATAAGTATTCCCACACAAAAATCTTCATTAATTTTGTGTTAGAGTTGCCAGACTCCACATCCCATTAATACAATTGGCTTAAAGTAAGGAAATAAGCAACTGTCATTCATCACCCCATCTACACTCTACTCATCAGCTCCTTGTTCCACCACCTATAGCCCATGTGTCTCCACCTTCATTCTGAGCAACCAGGGTACAGCCTTAAGTCCAGCCGTAGATGTAATGCCTGTATTCTTGCAGTTTTCAAATCTGTACTTGAATACAAGTTCTCATGCACAAAGTACTATAAGCTCAGCAATGATCAAAAGCATACAGGTCCTCCGTTTACATCCCATCCAAAAGTTCTGCTGCAGCTGCACGGAGTTCCTGAACACCATGCTGAGGTTCAGCACCAAATTTGAGGGGAAAGTGCCACCTAGTGAATTGCCATCATCACTCGTTCTAGATCTTGGGTTTTCCTTGGAGGTCATTCATTTAACTACTGACTAGGCCATCGCTTGCTTAGCTGTATGAGAACTGAAAATTAACTGGCTACAACTGGGTTTGTTAAAAATATCACCTCTGTGATACAATTACAGGTGTCTAATGTAAGGAAAGAATTACGACCTTTAAGAATGTGTGCTCTAGTTTTGTGTTTCTGATCTCTGGCGCAGGGAGAATTTAAAGTGTCTGAGCGGTACATCACCATGAGTGATCTGACAGCTGCCTTGGAGGAAAACAGAGTGAAGGAGATGTTTGGTGCTGGGACAGCTTGTGTCGTATGCCCTATTTCTAAAATATTATACAAAGGCAAGGTAAGGAAAGTATTTGTGTTTGTTTTTTCTTCCCCATATAATTACAGCGTGGCATTGTCTGAGGTTCATGCGGGAAGTATCTTATCAGTATATTGCCTCCTAACTTCTTCTCAAGTTGGGGAAAACTGATTTTTTTTTTCAAAATTTCCCCACCCTCTTTTTTGTGTTTAATTTGAAATTTCAGAACTTAGTTTTTTTTTACCAGCTCTACAGTTCGTTGAAAAGTGGGGGGCAGATTTATTTTAAATTTAAGTAAAAAAAAAAATCATTCAGACAAAAAAAATCAAAATTTGAAATTTCATCAACATTTTGCAATTAGAAGCATTTCAGCCAGCTCTGTGATGTGATTTGCAGTCAAATCTTCCCTTAATAGGGAGGCTGACAGCCAGTCACAGTTCCTCAATTCTGTTATGCCCATCCCTGGCATAAATTAAAATTGCAGAGGAGGAGATTTAAATTCTTCCATCAGCAGAAACAGGTCATACAGAGAACATGGCTTTGCTCCACCATGACCACTCCCCTTCCATACCCTAATACAGTGGTCCCCAACCTTTTTCGTCTGGTGGGCGCCAGACGATGAGCCACGGAGGACCGTGGCGGCAGATGAGCATCCGCCGAAATGCCGCTGACAAGCGGCAACGTCAATAGGCGTCGCCGCCGACAAGCAGCGTCATCCAGAGGCATCGCCGCCGAAATGCCGCCGATTTTGGCGGCATTTCGGCGGCGACGCCTCTGGATGACGCTGCTTGTCGGCGGCATTTCGGCGGATGCTCGTCCGCCAGCCAGTACGCGGGCACTTAGACGCCCCTGCCCTAATATGTCTCCTTCCTAACCCCATCCCATGCCTGACTTAATCCTTCCCCTTATACCAGGCAGCACAGCTCTGTTGGAGAGGACACAGATGGCAGAACTGGTACAGAGATGGCAGAACTGTTTCTGTCTGCTGTACACCAGTTGGGAAATTCCCCCTGAACAGGGGGAATTCTGTAAAGCATTTCTCTGTCCTGTTTAAGTTCACTTTGCACTGCTTATGTTGCACAAAATGAACTTCGCAGACCAGGGAATCCAGCCCAAGAGGTATGTTGATATGTTTCTTTGTGAAGATAGACAATAGAACAAATAAAATAACTATGTAGAAAATGATGCTTCTAATAGAGGGACTACATCTATTAATATGATCATGCTTTTGAGATACGAATGGGAAACATTAAGATTGACTATTGAAAATTATGGTAAATGTACTTGTTTTAACACAATACACAGTGTAGATAGTAAATAGAAAGGTGCTTCTTTGAGTTGACTATCCTCCTCCTCAAGCCTTACTGATTGAGCAAGAAGGTAAGTGTGGAGTAGTGATTAGACCTTGCTTGGACTCCGGTAGCAGGTGGGTTCTATTCCTGGCTTTATTGCCACTCCTTTGGCCAAGTCACTGAGGAGGGCCTAAACCAACTCTCATTACAGTCAATAGAAGTAGTACAGTTGACGTGAATGTCAGCTGATCCTTGAGCTTTCTGTGTCTCCTATAAAATGGATATTAATGATCCTTACCCACCTGATGGGAGTGTTGTGAGGTTTAATTAATGTTTGTGAAGTGCTTTGAGGTCCTCAGATTTAAAAGGCATTTATATCTGTATGTACTTGTTGTTGCTTTTGTTATCTGACTGTACATGATGAGCTTCTAGGACTTATTCTCATTTTAATTCCACCTAGAATTTGCACATTCCAACTATGGAGAATGGACCTCAGTTAGCAACCCGCTTCCTGAATCAGCTGACTGATATCCAAGTAAGGGATTCTCTTCTTTGGTATGATAACATAATGAAAGAGGTGAAATAGAATGAATGAATAGTTTTTCTGTTACAGGCTCCAGGAATCAAAATATAGACTCTTTCTCCCACCTCTCCTGGCATTGAAACCTTGGTAGATTATCAGTGGTAAGGGATGGTGCAGGAAGATATTTACCCTACATGTCACTGAGGGATGCTGTTTTACTCCTTAAAACCTGCCCTCCCTCTTTCATCTTGAAACAGAGTGATTTTAATACAGGTGTGAAATACAGGAGTGCTTGTAAAAGACTGATGTTTATGTCCTCGTCACATGACATGGGCCAGGATTATAAAAAGTTATACCCAGTCATTATCCACAAACTCCAGTGGCAGCTGTTTCATCTTCCCTTTAAAAAAATACACAGTCAGATAAAACCTAATATCAACTTCCACAAAATAGTACAGCCAATCGATTAAAAAAACCCCCACAAAGTGATGTCTTGGATGGTGGGCATGGTATTTGATATTGGCCAGTAACTGCTATCTTGTAGGCTCAATGTCTTCCTGATCATGCAGCCACTACTTGTTCCCAAAACAGTTCCTCCTCTAGTGGCTTGCTGGATGTTAAGATGGATGGATCTACCATTTGGCACTTGTATTTGCTCTCAGTATCTGGAGAGGCATGTTTTACTTCGGTCAGTGCACAAAGACTGTCAATAGCATTCTGGACATCCTCAAGAAGCTGAGAACCAGTGTCCTCCTTGGTTTATTTAGATGTCTTCTCTTTCTCCTGTAGGGGGTGGTGAATGATATATGGCCTCAGCATGGATAGAATAGCTGTTACCTTGACAGGTTGCAAGTCGCTTTGTTTGCAAACATTCTCTAACATTCTCTCCCACTTACTATGGCAGTAACTCTTTGGCATTCTTCTCATAGTATTTCTTCTGATCTGGGTTGCAATAGTTATTTCGTAATTGCCGCAGAGTTAATGGTCTGTGGCTCAAGAAGCACATTAGATGTTGCCACTAAGGTTTTTATCCTCCTGCCGTTGAGCTGCTGAACTGGTGATCCTAATAAAACATAGTGAGATGTGTTGCAGTATCCATACTAAATATGGATCCCTTGAATCTATCAGGGCTTTTATTTTAAATTTTTACTGACTCTTCTGCAAATCCTCACCTGGTGGGCATGAACTGATAGAGCCATAAAAAAATTGTCAGATTGAGTCATTCATTAATTGTGGCCCGTTGTCTGCTATCAACTCACCTGGAATCCCATAGCTAACATATTGAGATTTACAATGTGATATTCAATGTGTTGTACAATAGAGTAGTTAAAAATAAAATAAAATGAATAGCATTCCACTAACCCTTCATTTTTTAAATCAAGTAGTGTGTACCAGCCTTGGACTAGGGACAGTCGAGCAATTTAGGTAGTTTCAATAGCTCTTTTGGATTCTTGTTCTATTTATTGCAGATTTCACACATGGATACTATCATATAGATTCTGTCAGAGCTGCTTTTCACCACCCTGCTGAAAAGCAGCTAGAAAGTTGTTGAATCTGTGCCCTGCTGGATTCCCCCTCTGTGACAGAATTCTCAGGTGGCACGGATCCACCATTGTGGATTCTAGGCTTGTCTCCAGTTCCCTCATGGACACCATCCAGGGTAGTCTCTACACCTTTTCAAAACAAAGTATTGTTTGATCACAACAGGAACATAATAAGGCAAAAAGGTTTTTCAACACAACAAACAGCCTATATGCATGTCTGTCATACCTAAAGCTTAGGTAGGCCTAGCCAATCCAGACGCCCCACCTCTGGGGTGGGGAGACAGTTTGCAACCTGTAGTCTCTGCATCCCTGCCACCAGAGCTTCAGGGACTCAGGTTTTTATCCACTACAAAATTTTGTTTCAGTTTTCTGCCTGGGTTTCCCCTCTCCTCTGCCAAGGCAAGGGTGTCGAACCCAGCATAGTCTGAGATAAACTTCAGAGGGAACAACACCTGCTTTGTCCCATGAAGTATTGGTGGCTATCAGGAGGGTTTCTCCATTTTCCTGTTTACCTGCAAACTAACCCATGCTAAAAGTAACCTTAATAATCATATAGCAAACAACACAATAATAATCAAACTGACAGATGAAATACATGATACTAATAAACTATCACAGGCAGCTCCCATGCCCTTCACTTGGGTCATTTATATTCTGATTCCCCTCAAAAAAATCTCCCCATGTAATTTCAGTGGAATACAGTATTGTTTGCTGTGCTCTGCTAAGCAGCTTCCACATTCCACCATGGAGGTGTGGAGCATTTCAGTGTTAGAGGAAACAATTCCCATATGTTTGTATTTAGCATGTAAAGGGCTTGTGTGTGCTTCTGCATAAAGATGCTGTATGAATTAGGGCCAATTGTCGTAATGGTCTCTATATTAGGAGCTGGACTGAGACTACTAATTCATTTTGTGTATGCCAACTGACAGTGATTAGATGATGAGACTTTCAGTTCCAGCAATGAACACTGCATTTGAACCAGTAACCTAGAGGTGAATCGCTCCATATCCAATTGCTAATCACCTCTGCCATCCAGTTCCCTCGTATGCAATACATACTAGTTTAACATTTTCAGATTTCTTTGATTATTTTGCATCTAGATCTGTTTTCCTGCCACTTACTGTTTTTTGTAACCCACAATCCTCCATGTGCAACAGGATTTACTTAGATTTGAACAGCTGTTCAGTGGAAAGTAGAGCTAGAATGACAAATTAGAACTTTGTGGGCAGTACTGATTACATTTCTCGCGGCAGTAGCAAGAGACAGGGGAACACTGCAGTATGCATTTACACTTGTGTTACTAAAAGGAAATTGTGATTACTATAGATTGATAGAGATTTTAGATGAAATAATTTACTCTGTGTATAGCATTGGAGTGGTTATGAATGCATCAATCACAGAATACTGTGTTCTATAACAGCTTGAGTTAGAGGATTTAAAGATGAGGTTCTCTCTGGGAATTGCACTGCCTCTGAAATGCCAATCAGTGCAGGCAACCTCCTTCTTCCCTAAATAAGAAGCCCTGAATGCTTTGGCTAATATGGCCAGTGGTCCCAAATATTGTAGATTATTTATGGCTTCTTCATGATGATTTGTATTTTTAAGGAGGATGCAGTGAAAACTTGTTCATTTTTAAAGTGTAGCTCAGAAAGCAATTTGGGTGGGATAGGTCAACAGTTTCAGGTGAAATTATTATTTGTATTAGAGTAGAATTTAAAGGCAACGATCAGTATCAGGGCCCCATTGTGCCAGGCACTGTACAAATATATAATAAGAGACAGTCCTGCTACACACTCTAAATAGGCAAGCCTGAGAAAATAGTGGTAGAGAGGGTTGGCTAGAGGAGGAAGTATTATTATCTCTATTTTACACATCAGAACCTGAGCAGCAGAGAGATTGAGTGACTTGCCCAGGTTACATAGGAAGTCTGTGGCCAATCCAGAAATGGAATCTGATCTACTTAGTCCCAAAATAGTGTCTTAACTGCACAACCATCCTTCTTTTCTAAAATATGAGAATGAACTCAAACCTTTGGCAAAAACTGAATCCATACTGACCCTTTGGGGGAACTTATGGAAGTCTGGATTGTGATTTCAGTTTTATGCACCTCTGCATTTCTTGGTGCTGAACAGGGTGAGACACTGAAGTCTGAGGGTACGTCTCAGAAGATCGGCGGGTAATAATCGACTATCGGGGATCGATTTATCGCGTCTCGTCTAGACGTGATAAATCGTTCCCCGAACGCGCTCCTGTCGACTCTGGAACTCCACCAGAGTGAGAGGCGGAAGCGGAGTCGACGGGGGAGCCGCGGTCGTCGATCCCGCGCCGGGAGGACCCGAGGTAAATCGATCTAAGATACGTCGACTTTGGCTACGCTATTCTCGTAGCTGAAGTTGCGTATCTTAGATCGATCTCCCGCTACCCCCAGTGTAGATCTGCCCTGAGTGAGGCTGTTCTTACGAACAGAAGCAGGGGATACTGGAAGTCACAAGAGAGCTTGTTTTCAGGAGATTTCCTGCCCATTTTTGCAGGTTCTGGAGGTTCAGATAAATTCCCAAGGTTTTTGAGTTTCACTCAGTTACTTGACAGGTGAATTAATAGCAGTAATTATCCTAATTAGCAGAGTAAACTTCAACATAAAGAACTCACCTCTTTTAATGGAAAATGCTGATGCAGCCTCTGCTCAGCTTGGAGGGGGCGTGAAGGGAGACAGGAGCCTTTATGGTGCCTCATTGGCCAGTGCTTGAGCCAGGTCAATTTCTAGTGTGAATCAGAGGAGCCTCACAGCTGCTGTGATTTATACCAGCTGCCTAGGACTCCCAAGGGGCTGTTCCAATAGTAAAGGATCACCAGGGTTAGCGCCAACTCCCTTTTCTCCAGTCATGCCCTCTACATTACAGTGTCTCTTTGCCACCCAGGGATTAGCCCATGCTGGGGGAATCCTGCACTGTTCGGTTAAACTGGCATTATGGCTGCTTTGCAATGCCAGGGAAGCATGAAGCATCTATGGTGGGGACAAGGAACTGACCTGGAAATGTCATGAATGGAGCCCTGTTTTTCGAGCGTGGTGTAACACATTCCGTCAGCTGTGCTGCAGACCTGTGTCCAGTGATAGCAGAATTAGCAACAGGGAGAAGAAATATCCCCAAGGACTGTTGGAAGACATTGTGGTTTTGTGTTGTACAGAGAGCTGTTCAGCCACTAGCCTTTGAAGACAGCACTCCCAAATGCTGTTTTTTCAAGTGAACACAGCAACAAGCCAAGAGCTTTTTCTCTTCTTGGGAATTCATCTTTTAATTTGCTCTTCTGCCCTAAGGTTTTTCTCTTATGGTCTCCATGCTTCCACACTCCATTTCAGTACGTATACTGGGCCACTAGAGATGTATAGGCTGCAGTGCCTTCCGTATGCAGATGGTACTCAGCTCTCTGTTGTCATCTTAGTCTGACCCACAGGTGAAGTCTAGAGATAATCTGACTCAAAGGCACTGGACTGGGATTCAGGAGATCTGGGTTCCATTCCTGGGTCTGCCACAGTTCCCCATGTGACTTTGGGCAAATTATTTCATTATTATGCTGCCTCTCCTACCTGTAAAGCAAGGATACTACTTCTCTGGTTTGTCTGTCTATTTAGATTGTAGACTCCTCATGGCAAGGACTGTCGCATACTATGTATATGTACAGCGCCTAGCACAGTAGGACTCTGATGTCAGGGCTTTTAGGTGCTACTGTAATATAAGTAGTAATTGAGTTGACATGTCCAATATTTGAGATTAGACTTTACTTCCACCTGTCCCCTTAACCACAATCCCACATCATTTACTGATTTCTCTTCTCTCTGTACTCTGACCACTGTTTTCTCTCACTGTAACAGGGCTTTACCTTCTCCATTGTGGTACACTTGACTCACTAGTCAAAAGCCAAAGTCCTCACCTTCCAAAGATAAACAAAAGTCCAAACCCCAAACAATGTTCAGCCCTCCTGGGCTCGACTAGTCTTTTTCTTGGCCCTTCCCAGGACTAATTTGTATAGCTGTAGTCCTGTCTCCACCCAGGTCTGCCCTGGTCTCCCTCACTGTTGATTTAGAAGTTGAAAAATAGCTTCCTTCCACCCTCTGTGGCCAGACAGTCACAAATGGACTCTGAACGGTTCCTTGTCCCATTGTTGCAGAGAGTTTCCATGCCCTCTCAGAAGGATCCAGTGCTCCATCTACTACTAACCTATATCCACATATAATTTACCTAAATGAATGAGCTGTGTCTGATTAGGGTTTGTGACAGAGAGCCTTAGAACTGTTTACCTTCAGATTAAGATCAAATGCAGTGTCAGTGTAATAGCTAACTGTCCTCTGCCCTGGGACTGTCCTGAAGAGAGATGGTAGGTCTTTTCCATCCCTGCCTTCTGTAACCCTGTTTATTACACAGTGAGAGCAGACTCATTCTTCATCCACAGTAGATCTGGTTTTTTTGGTTTACCATGTTAGTGTAACATCTTCTCTAATTTTACTCTGTGATATTTGTGATTAGATTTATTTCAGGTTTAATAAAAAAGATGTAATAAAAAGCTACTTTTTAAAAAAGGGGGAAATAGATGCATTTGCATATTGGGACCTGAGCAGGGGCTGCACATGTGAGCAGATTAGTAAAATGACCACAGGGAATAGTTGCGGGACTTTTAACACAGGTTGTATTAAATGCATAGACACCTCCATCAAAGCAGGACTTGTCTGCTTTATATCCTCTCACAGGAGAGTATCTTCACCCCTTCACAGCCTACTCCGTAGAGATGGATAAAGTGTCAAACTGCCTTCAGCTTTGTTTAAAACACAGACTGTAGCTAAGGCATAAAACCACAAATAATCTGTTTTATAGGGGGCAGTTGTGGCAGTGGAAAGGAGCTTTGAAGTAGGTGTAAGTTATAGTTACTCCCACCTACAGGTCCCTTTACCCTGCCAGAGTGGTGGAAAAGGGCCTTAGAGTGAACGAAAGTCAGGTCACAGGAAAATTTTGTTGGTGCAGAGTTATCTTTATTTCCTGAAATATGTTCTTTGTTTTTGTTTCAGTACGGAAGAGAAGACAGCGAATGGACACTCCTGGTGTCATGAATGCAGAGTGGCGGGGATCAGACCTTCCATACACTACCCGACAGGCCAAACCGTTACACCAGAACAATCACCACTTTTCTGTAGCTGCCCCTTTAGAGCTGTGCGTAGGGTAGTCAGTGTTCTCCCTTTCCTCCCCAGGGTGATTTGTTTCCACATGCCAGGGAATGTGAACACAATCATTATGATTTCTACCATAGTCTTGCTAATAGAAGCCTATCTTCTTGTTAGAGATGCTAGATGTAAGCAATAGAACTGTCCCAACTGTTTTCTTGGTGCCTCCTTGTGTCTTATGTACAGTCCAAAAACTTGTCAAATACTCTTCAACTGGTCTTCAGTGTAAGCCATGGTGTTTTTTCAACTGCCACCACTACCGGAGAAGACTGCCATATAAAAAAAGTTGCCCATTACTTAGGGGAACAGTTACTATCCCTTAGTCCTATTTTATTTGCATCCTCAGGCAATGGATTATGTTTTTCTCTGTTACTCCACTTATGTGGGAGGTTCCTCTCTGCATTCCCAGAGCCCTGAGGAGCCCCTGTTTTTTATTCTGCCAACATCATACCCTCACCTTTTAGGCCCCATGTCATAGCAACCACGCCTTTAGAATGAGGATGACTTGGTGGGAAATCCCTTCAGAGCCCAGCAACACCACTCCTAAATCAGCTTATAAGAACTTACAAGATACAAAGTGATCTTTCCCCACCCAAGGCTTTACAGTGCTCCCAGCCCTGGCTGGCCCACTTGTTTCTTAATATGATCTTTCCATTTTCTGAAGAGGCCGTTGCTTTCCAGTATGGGTTCTCCTATATCTTCCCCTGCTTGCCAGTGGAAAAGTGCTCAATGCAGGAGAACAGAGGGATTTTGTTCACCCCTTGTCATTCCGCACTACCATGTTCCCTTACCTCTTCATACACCACTAGACTCATAATACACTCTCTTGTTGCCATTTGGAAGCAGATACAGAGCTGTTAGCACGCAATTAGGAAATAAATAACTTCTGCAAATTTTCTTTAACCCTTAAATATGCTACCATCCATATAAGCTTTCTCATCTATGCACACACTTTTCTCAACTAGTTTTAAGATGTCTCTTGCCAAAAAGGAACTATAGTATTCGGTAGTAATACTCCAAAATGCTAGAGGCCTGATTCTTCTGTTATTCTGACATAGAACTTATATAACTTCATAGCTGTCAGTGGAGTTATACCTGCATAAAATCAGTTTAACAGAATGGAGCCTCAGACCCTACATTTTACACTAGCCATACAGCAGTATTTTGGGAACTAACTTGTATTTTTTTAATAAGGGGGGGAAGAGTTTCTCTCCCACACTTTCTAACTGACCCCATCTATAACTGGCAGTTGCTAACACAATGTAAAATATATTAAGCATCATTTCTAATGGGCAGCCCCTTGTCTTAAGCCACCATTTAAAATTATCCACAGGGCTTTCTTGTACAGTATTTGGTCAAACATTAACCCTCAGTCTCTACTAGGCCACCATTTTCTGCTGGTCCCGTGAGTGATGGGTTAGACAGATCTTGCTGCAGTCTGTTCTGTTACCTTATTGAAGAACAGTTGAAGGTTACCAGTGACAATTGTTCAGAGTGAGTTGTTGGACAGTGTTCTATTTAGAATATATCTACAAGCTCAAAATGCTGTTTCATTTATGGTAGCAGTAGTACTGTGTATCTCTTCTACTCACAATTTAAATCTGTACTGTGCTCTGGTCTCTGTTCAGTTTCTTGTGATATATCATAGGCCAGTGGTAGTTTATTTATTTTTATTCATCTACTGGAAAAATTAACATGGGGGATACATCGAGATACAATGTGAGGTAGAGGCGTTTTTCCAACAAGGCAAGTACCACAACTGAAGAGTGCCTTTGACTAGAGTGTGTCATAGAGCTCATACCAGATTACGTCATGAATGAGACTAAATGGCTTCCTATTACTGAACTGTAACCTGTTCCCTCACGTTTAGCTTAGATAATTGTCATTGACAGCAAAAGTCTAGGTGGTTCGGTTTGACTGAGATGCCTGGGGAATTGGATGTGCAACTCCCATACTTGAGATATCAGTAGTATTAACAGAAGTTGCACATCGAATTCCCTATGGACAGTACTGACAGTAATCTACTCACAAGTCAGAATGAAAAAATGAAGACCAGTTATAATAATTGATTTAGAGTGGTTGACGCTTTAAGTGGTTGACGCCTTAAAGTCTTAAATCAGATTACAATAATTTTAAGTGGGGCTCGACATTGGCCTGTAGTTGTTGTAGTCTACACTGACTTTTGGGGAGACCTGAGTTAGACTTCCTGTCTTATCTCTTCACCTCTTGTACTGCTGGAGACCTCAAAAGTGCAAGGGCTAACAGAGGATAAAATTGGAAGATCCACAAAAATATGAGCTATTTCTTAGAGAAAAAGTGAAACCATGTAGAGCACTCCCAGTCAGCTAGTGTCATCTCTGTGAATACTTTTGCTCCCTCTTGGTAAATTCAAACAGCCTTGATTATTTTCATTCAGGCTCTGGGTGAATAGGTTCCAGTTTTTAAACATTATATACTAAATAAACCAGCAGAGTATTCTGATCTTTCATGACAATCCTGTGTGGAAATACATAGCCTGCATTCTGCATCTGTATTATTTTATTCTTTTATCCTAAAATTCCAAGAAATAACATTTGTAAATAACAGTGAGCACTCGATCAATACTGTGTTCTCCTTATTTTAGCCCATAAAGTTTAGGGAGGAACCGTGCTATTCCCTGAGCTGATAGACTGTAAAAGAACATCTGCGCATCTCTTTTCTATGTGCGCTGTTTAATTGTAGCAGATTAACATAGAAAGGGTATGGTACATCATAACTAGGCAATTATCCATTCTTCATCACTTAGTTATGGTTACACTAATTGATCATTTAAGAAATAAGATAGTCTAACATTAGGAACATTTGAGGCTGTTCAGAAAAGATCAACAAATTAATAATTGTGTGATATTTGCATAATTGGCTGCAATTATTTAATGTTTAATTGGCTGATCAAATGCGATTCAGCCTCTCACATGTGTATGCTTTACAAACAGTGGTACTTTAAAATGATAATGATGAACTATAATTTTTGCAAGTTCTTTCTTTCCCCCACTTCATTCTTTGATTATTTTCAGCCTTGAGCATGTTCCTAATTTTCAGTTTAGTTTCAGCTATTTATCTGTCAGAAAGAAGTCCTTAAAATGAGATCCCATTTCAGAGGTCCACAAAAACTAGTGTTTCATTCAAACCTTGATGATGCAGGAGTTGTGGAATTAGCAGCTGTCACTGCATTGCCAGATTCATAATTGCAGTTCAGGGCAAATTCACCCAGGGGTAACAATGATTTATTCTGGTGAGAACTCTGGCAAAGGATCCTCAGAGTAGAAAGTCCATCCAGAGGAGGTTGTGGCAGCACAAAACAAATGTAATTTCCTTGACAGGGGAGTTAGGAGGGCAGCAAGGACCAAAAAATGGGAGATGCTGGCCAGGGAATATGGCCATTGGATGATCTGACTCAATATAGTCTTCAACAGTGTCCATGAGAAGGATTCCCAGAAAATCCCAGCCATAAACTAAGTCTGCCCACGTCCCCTAGCAGAAATCCCCGAGGGACTGCAGTGGTAATACCACCTGCCCTTTTTCTGGATGAATCGCCACTGGAGTGCTGGGAGATATAATTAACCCTTCCCTGCCTAAGTGCTGGTGATTCTTTTGTCCTTATTTTATATTACACCTGGAGAATGGTAATCTGAAAAATAGGGCATTTGAAAGGTAGAGGTTCAGTATGTGCTGGTGGGAATGAACACACAATAGGGTATGTCTACACTCAAGTTAGAGGCGTGATTCCCAGCTTGAGGAGACATACCCACGCTTGCGCTGATAGAGCTAGCATGCTAAAAGTAGAGTATAAGCCGCGATGGTGTGAGCAGCAGGAGGGGCTAGTCATCCAAACATGCCTAGGGTCTCAGAAGGGATCGTACACAGGGAAGCTAGCTCCTTAAACTACTGCAGCTACACTTCTATTTTTAGCATGCTAGCTCAGTCAGAATTAACGTGGGTATGTCTTACTGAGCTGGGAGTCGCACCTTCAGCTTGATGTGTAGACATACCGATATGTGAATCACCGCTCATGTCCAAGCAGTGGGCAAGGCAGAAGGGGCGAATTGAGAGCTATTTCACAGCTCCATCACCTGGGGGGAAGGAGAGGAGGAACTCTTGTCCAGTGTTATCTATAGAGCAACCTATGTCATCTCCTCAAATCACTTAGCCCCTTTACTTTGCTTCAGTATGTAACAATGCAATATCATAGAGCAAATGTTGCAATGCCCTGTCAGAGCATGGCACAGCGATTGATCTTCCAGGCCTTGCTCAGATTCCTTTCACCTCTTCAGGACCCTACATATGGTGCACAGAGTAGACAGGCCCAGTAATGAGGGGAAAGCAGCATGCAGGTGGGTGCACTTGTATCACAGTGTATGTCTGTGCTGCAATTAAAAAAAAAAAACACAGCCCAGGCTCCAGCCCAAACCCAAACTTCTACACTGCTGTTTTTAGCTCAAAGCGCAAGCCCCATAAGCCTAAGTCAGCTGACCCAGGCGCTGAGACTTGTTGCTGTGGGTCTTTTATTGCAGTGTAGACACACTCGCATTCCAGATACCTAAAGCAGGGCTAATACTAATGACCTACCCAGGGATGGGGTGGGTTCTCCATCACTTGGAATCTTTAAATCAAGATTGGAGATGTCTTTCTAGAAAATATGCTGTAGCTCCGCCAGAGGTTATGGGCTTGATGCAGAGTTTACTGGATGAGCTACAGCCTGTGCTATGTAGGAGGTCAGACTAGATGATCATAACAGTTCTTTTTGGCCTTAAAATGTATTTGTAAGAAGTTTGTATTTATAGCCTCCCCGGGCTGTCAGTGTCTGTGCTTTCAGTCATCGCCTGGGTCTTTCTCCCCGTCACCTATTATTTTGCAAGTAATGTTGGCACAGGTAGGTGCCAGCTTTTTCCTTTCCCCGGGGTGCTCAACCCCTGCTCAGGGCACAGGCCCCACCCTCAGTCCACCCCTTCACCCAAACCTCTGCCTCTTTCCACTCCCTCCCCCGAATGTGTCCAGTCCCCACTCCTCCTGCACACCGCAGAACAGCGGCTTGCAGGAGGCACTGGGAGGGAGGGGGAGGAGTAGATTGGCGGAGCTGCCGGCAGGCAGGAGATGCTGTGGGGAGGGGGAGAAGTTAATCGGTAGGGCTGCCGGTGGGTGGGAGGCACTGAGGGGAGGGAGGAACTGGCTGGCTGCTGGTGAGTGCTAAGCACCTGCTAATTTTTTTCGTGGGTGCTCCAGCCCACGGAGTCGATGCCTATTAATGTTGGGGCTAAATTTTAGCACAGTTAGTAACTCATATTAATGGGGCCTTTGCAGTTAATTCCCTATGTACTGTGCTGGAAAGGCAATTTCTTTGGTGCTCAAACAGATATCTGGTCAAGGAGTGTGGAAGTCATTAAAGAGCAGCAGAATGAGGAAAAAGGTGATGGTCTTTTATCTGCACAATACATTTTATTGCAGGTGTTTTACTCATCCCAGTCTGCAAAGTGCCTCTTCCAAAATATTTTTATTAAAGCTTTTAAATCTGTATTTCCTTTCACATGGTCAGCCTCTAGACAAGACTGCGCAGGGCATTCCATTAATTCAAATTCTATTAAACATAATGAACAAAAACAGCTTTAGTTTAAACAGTAAGTCTGGAGTCTCATGGCCTTCATGAAATGCAAAATATACTGCCGAATTCTTATTTCTTTCCATGTATCTAACCAAATTATAACTGAAAGCCAAGTAGGCTATTAATACCTGGAGCATAACACAAAAGCCTAGCCAAAAACTTTTTACCCTGAGTTCTTTGATCCCATTTGCAAAATGGGGCACATGCTAGAGAGGAGGGGAGTTTGAGCAAAGGCTGAGGAGCCACGTACTCCAGAGTTTCAGTTCTGGCTCTCACATTGACTCTGTGATCATGGGCAAGTCATCTAGCCTCTCTTTGACTCCATTTGCCCACCTGCAAAATGGAAACAGTGCAACCTAACTCGCAGGTGTTGCGAGGAATAAATACCCAGTGATCTCATATTTTTGGCCTGGGGGACACGGGAGAAATCTTAAAAAGTCTGCCCTGTTATGAGCACAGAAGCATAAGCCAACCACTAGCTGCTGGGACCTAGGTAGACATTTCCCCATATGGGAAGGTTATCCCATAACTGTCTACCACAGGGTTCCTTGCACCTTTCTCTGAAGCATCTTGTACTGGTCACAGTCAGAGACAGGATACTGGAGTAGAGGGAGCACTGATCTGATGATCTAGTATGGCAATTCCTATGCCTGTCCATCCAGGAAGGGGACACAGTCTGTCCTTTCACTCCCCTGAATGCAAGGATTAAACCAGGCTAGTGCTGCCAGCAATAGCCTCCCTTAAAGACCCTGGCCAACAAAGTGGGTCCTCCTTGGAGCAAGGAGAAGGAGGATGAATGATCCTCATCCAGGAGTCTTTCTGGGAGGTGTGTATTGTCACCATCCTCTAACCATCAGCTCTCCTATAATCCAAAAATTGAACTGTGTGTTTGCAAAGCACTTTGAGGACAACAAGCATTGTGGGTAAATGCAAAATATTATTATAATTATTACAACGTCTTATGTGGCTCGTAGGATTCAATCTAGCCTTTAACAAAACAGAATTTATTTTGCTACAGGTAAAATCTCTTCTATGAATCTAATTCACTTCAAGAAATCTGTTTAAGCAGCACAGATAGATGCCAGACGCAGAGCCAGCATTTGAAGCATCCCTTCCTGATTAGTTGCAACATCTTGATTATACAGAGGAAAAATGTTATATGTAGACACACACTTCGTATGATGTGTCTTATTTTTAAGGTTTCCTGCAGTAGGACCATAATCCTGCAAAATGCATAGCTCAGTTCCAAGTTTAAAATTGCATCTGACACACAGTACAGATTTGACAAGAGCACTATTCACTGATCAGAGATAAATTTAATTTTTACATTTGTCAAAATAAAATCAAGGGCGTAGAAGCAACTTGATCCATCATGCTTCTAAACCCCTGTATACTAGAAGTCCACCCTATCCCGTTTTAGAGCTGTGCCTTATAACATAACATTCAAATCACCCTGTGGGATCCATCCTACTCTGGTGCTGAGTGCTCTTGACTTCAGCAAGTAGCAGTTGAGAATTATTAGAGTGCTGTGTTTTATCCAATTCTACAGAAATACATTTTGTCATGAAGCTCCAGATTGTGCAAAGAATAACTGATATTTGCTAAAATACCTCCTCCTAATGGTAGGATAATGTTCCTTCTTGCTTAATTTAGGTAGCTAGATTGTTATTCATAATGGAGGAGGAAGATACTGACATTGAATTGGTAAAGAAACAGTAGTATTAGAATCATCTTACCAGTAGTATTAGAATCATCTTCCTTTGTTAAACATGGTGGTTATTAGGCTAGGTTCCAATATATTTTCCCTGACCAGGATGGAAAAATCTGACAACAGTATTAGCCAAACCATACTATAGGTGTCCCCAATTCCACTTGATTCTCCATTGCCCTTGTGCAGTCATTTACACCAGTGCAAAGTAGGTGTAAAAATGCTACCAAATCAGACTGGTCATGCTCTTGGTCTGTGGCACAATTGCAAAGGTCGTTTCTCAGACACACACAAAAAAACCCTGTCCCCATGGGCTAGAGAACCATGCCAGTACCCTACTAGGACCAGTCATGTTGGAAACACTCTGCTCTTGCCAGTGTGGATAGACCCATGTGACTCTCCTTTAATCTGAAGGAAGACCTGTGTTGAAATACACAAAATAAATCCCCCCCAACCAAAAAAAAAAAAAAAGGATGGAAAGACTCAATAGATAAAGGATAGAATCAATGTTTTTGGGGATATGTTTATTCTGGGGTTGCTCATTTAAAAAATTGTGATTTTAAAAACCAGAAACAATCAGTCACTTTTTACCTGAATTATTAGGGCCAAGATATTAACATTGGACCCTAACAGTCAATGGGAGCTGCTGGATGCTAAGAACTTACGAAAATTTGGCAATTTTTTCAGGAGCCCAGATAAGGATTCAGGGGTCTACTTTAAGTTTCTGAAGTTTTTTTTGCCTAAATGTTTAGAATTGCAGTCTGGATGAGGTTATTATAAGAAAAGAGACTAAGACTTTGAAGAAGAAATTAACCATGATTTACAAATGACTTCACAATTCTTTGTAATAACCCCCACGGGAAATCACTTATGTTAATGACCAACTATGTCTGTGGAAAAATATTAGGTAAAATATGTTCTCTTTCTATCCACACAATAGTTAGTTCTCTTAGTTCATTTAAGTCTGTTTTAGAACCTGATCATGCCAGGTGCTTAGCGGTTGACTTAAGTGGGAACTGCCATCGGAGGCACTTGCCCTCCAGCAGGATCAGACACACTGAAGGGGTCATCAGCTCTATTATGTCTGGCATAATTGTAAAAGTGATTGAGATAAGAAAAAGAGCTTTTGATAACTTTCTGTACAGGAATATTTACAAATTTTTTGGTTTTCTTTTTAAAATATACATGGATTTAAAAATAATTTGGTTTAAAATTTTTTAAAAAATATTCCCAACAACCCCAAACTCACCCATAATCTTTAAGAAGTGTCCAGAAGAAAAGCAAGCAACTGCTGTGACACTTTCTTAGGGTACCCAGGACTCTGAGTCACATTACCCTGCTGCCTCCAGCATGAGGAAGTCTTTCTTTTGGTAGCTGGCTGTCAGCTCCCTGTCACTGCCAGCCCTTCAGCCATTCAAACACTCTCCTCTGGGCTCTGCCGGCCCTTACTTTGCCTTGCAGGTTAACAATAGGTACATCCCAGTCCCCCAGCCACTCCAAAAGCATCCCTCCCGTAATGTTCAGCCCCTGACACTGGACACCTGTAATTACGGGGGTTGCAACTCCCAAGGGAATAGAACACAAATACCAGTTTACTTGATTCAACCGAGTACCAGCTCCAATCTAAGAACACAGCACTGTAATCTATTAATACTCAAAACAAATATATATTTATTAATAAAGTAGAGATTTAAGAGATAGTGAGGAATCGTAATAAGAGCCAAAGGTTACAAATAAAAGTATAACACACGTCTGCTAGATTAAAATTTAACGTTAGCAGGCTGCAATCCTTTGTCTAAAATAGTCTCTCACCTAAGCTTTTTCTGCAGAGCTTGCTGGTTTCAGTCAAACCAGGATCCCAAACATTCATGAATCACCCCCCCTCCCCCCGGGTGTTCCTCAGTGAAATGGATAACATAGGGGGTCCTTTATCCTTTCTCTTATACCTCAGAGTTTATCTTTGCACTCCTGAGACAAGACAACCCCCGGTGGTTCTAGTCTTTGGTGTCTCCCCATTTGACAGCACTTCCTCGCGTTGATTTAGAATACAAATGTAGCTCCCATTGTGTTTGGCTTCCAATGATTTTCGGTCAATACTAAGTGCTAGTGGGAGGTGCCAGGGTGAAGCCTTCTATCCGCAGAACAGGTACAGCAAGGGCAGTGACAGTATAACCTTCTCCTACAGTGCTCCACCACAGTACCTCAATCATGTTCTGGGGTCCACATAGTATTTCTATGCCCATTCGGCCCTTAGAGCAAGACTGCCAATTAGTGCCAAATGTTGGAGTGATGATTTATGATGTGAATCACTATTTGGAAAAGTGCTTATCACAAGCTTAAGTGCTTAAAGTTATGCACTTGCTTTCCTGAATCGGAGCCTAACAGCTTGACTGAGACCAGCAACTCATTTTATATAGGTCACCAAACAGCAAAAAAATGTTAGGTGCTAGAGTCAAGCCAACCATGTAAGATGAAAGGTTCCATATCTTTTCAAATCCAACTCCCACAAAACCTTTCTATCATATCATGTGCCAGTAGCTGGCTAGGGCTCATGATAGGAGGAGAATTAGATAATTGTTAACTATTATCATCCCTTAATTTAAGATGTTGCCAAGAAATTAATCTCTTTCTTCTCCATCCTTCACCTTCTAGTAGGGTTGCCTGGGCTGCTGCAGTATAAATTGACTGGATATTGAAGGGTCTTTATAATGATGAGGAATAATAGGGTTTTTATATTAAATTATATTAAAGCATTTTCATTAGAGTGGTATGTTTGGGTCAATGAATGCCTCAATCTAATCAGTTTCTGAATTGGTTATTAATGTACTGTAGAAATACTTGGAATTCCGGCATTTTAAGTAGGAGAAATTGTCAACTTAAACAGGGAGAAATAAACACCTCTGAAGAGTCTCTGCTTTCATAAATGTTCAAGTTAACAGGATATTTTACCAAGATCTGAGCATATAAAAGTATTAAAGGAACAGATGTGTGGGAAAAAAATATTGGGTAAAGCAAAGGAAACTCTACCTCATCCTTCTTTAAAGATTTTGTAGAAGCACAATTAAACACTCCTAATGGCATTGTTATACACAAACCATCTGGCATGAAAGAAACACTTTATATTTGTATGTCTAAACTTCCTGTTATAACTGTATTTTGCTGGCAATAGAAGTAGTCTATATTGTTTGCAGTTTCCTCATCAGATCTGTAATTATGCAGTGTTTCTGTTTTCAATAAAGGAATTTAATGGACTGCTGTTTGTGGCATGTTATGAAATCTGCACTGTCAAGTACATCTAATATGGCATACGTACCACATGTATGTATAAAATTGAAGCTTGAAAGCTGAATTTTTAAAAAGTATTTTATCAAATTAGGCCAATGGAAACACACACGGTGCTGAAGAGCTAATTGTGTAGTAAAAATCCTAAATTTCGGTTCTGCCCTCAGTTACCTATTGAAGTAAAGGGGCATGACATCCAAGGAAATGGGTGAAGAATTGGGCCCTAAGAATATCAGACATGCATCTTTCTAGCCAAACCTGGATGCAGATATACTTATTTCATTAGAGTAAAAGCTGTTGAGCAAATGAAGCAGTTAAACTGACTGGCTGTTAACCACAATGTCATGAAACAGCTTTTAACAGCACATCAGAACTTTGCAGCAGTGATTAAATGAAGCCATTATTATCAGGGTTTCTCAGTAAAGATTTCAAGGGAGTGAAGCAATCCAGAAGAAAACTTAATACTTACAGTGCTTATTTCACAGGGTGTTTCTGAGGGGTAAGGACATTGACTAATGTGAAGCATTTTGAAGATGGAAAGGATTGTAGAATGGTTGTCATTAAAATCGTGACACTTACCATATCTAGTAGTCACATTTCCCAAATGACTTGCCCTATTTCCCATTCTCGGTACAGTGAATACTGCAAATAAGATGGTACAGATCCATACACCGATGAGGTACACATCAGTGGTGCCCCCCATATTCATGTAAGTACTAAGTGTTAGTTATTGCTAAGGGAACGACAAGCCTGCATGTCAGAATCAGACTTATTCCCATGTTCCCCCTTTCTATTCTCCCCCATTCAATCAACGTGCTTAGTAGTAGTATTTGCCTTTGTTTCGCTAATACAATATTCAAAGCCTGCTTATCCCAACTGGTGTTAATTTGGGGCCTGGTCCTGCAAAGTGCTGAGCACTCTCTAATAAATGATTAGCACCATCAATAGGTCCAGACCCTTAGTGAGAGAGAGAGAGAGAGAGAGACTGCTTCCCACTGCAAAATCTTGAGAGGATCCAATCACCAATACTATTTGGAGATTCTCAATGAGTGACAAAAGCTTTATTTGCCAAAGAGCTTGTTTGCTCCTTTGAGAGAAGAATAGTATAAATGGCAACATTGTTCTTGCAGGGTTGAAGTATGCACTTATAGTTTCTAGAACAATACTTCTAAGGTACAGATTCCTCTAAAACAGAGGTGACAGATATGTCTGTCATTGAAAGACTGGTTTTAAAACATTAGTTAGATGGGGGCCAGAGAGAAAAACTGTCTTCGCTATATAGCTCTTCAAACAAGGAAAGATGCAAAAAAGTTATGCCAGAGTTTCCAATAAATGCAGTCAAAATACAGACTTGGAATTCAGTGCTTGGAGTTATGTTGGCATAAAGGTGGTTTTCGACTTCATGTTAGCTTCTCCTCTCCCCTTCCCCCTGCTCAATTGTGGTCATAAGCATCATTACAGTGAAGTTGCTCTAAAGTGACACCGTCACAACGAAAAATAGAATTTGGTCCAATATCTCCACATCTGTCCTCTATGCTTCTCCAAAGAGGTGTTCCTGGCAGAAACTGCATGAATTTGGGCAATGGTTGATCTCTCTCTGTTCCAAGACACTAGAATTAACTTCAGAGCTCATACAGGGAAATCCTTATGGTGCTACTTCTTTTGAACAATAAAGTACTATAATACACTTCCATTAATTCACGTCTATCATAAAAACCCCAACATCACCACAGTCTATTAAAATGCCTTTTAGTTTTGTAAGGAAGAAGTTACTCACTCTTGCAGTAACTGTGGTTCTTTGAGATGCATTCCCCCTATGGGTGCTCCACTTCCGGTGACTTCGGAGCAGTATCCCCACAGGAAGGAGGGGAGGAATTGAGTCCAGAACTGAAGACAGGACTGCATTACCAAGTGCCACATCTGATATGGATCAAGGCATAGTGTTTAGAAAATGTATGTAGTAAAGAACAGGTAATGGCCTTGTGCATCTCAGGTACTAGAATGTTTTTGAGTAATGCCATAGATGTTACTTGTGATCTGGTAGAATGTGCTACCTCACTTTGGGGGGTTGAGCAGATATTGTGGACACCTATCTGTCCACGATGGAAATGAAGCATCTGTGTGACTTCCCAAAATTGACTGGTCCTGGGTAGGTAGAAGGCCCATGTC